TTTCTGGTGCTAATTCTGTCTGACTTTAAGTAGGTGCAGAATGAACTTCCCAAAGCTTTATCACCGTCCCGATTTAAGTGTAGGTTTGATCTATTTAGCAATGACTTTCCTATGCAGCTATTGTTGATAAATGTAATTTTATGTTTGGAGCAAAGATCATTAACTAATTTATTATATTGATCAATTTTATGATTGTTTACCTTGCCATCATAACGCTTGATAACACCAGATACTGCTAATTTGTTGGTGTGGGCCTTTGCTTTGTTGATGAGATTTTCCATGTCTGCAGCAACCTTTTTTGGTTCTTCACGCACCAAGTCATTTGTTCCAACATGAAGGATAATGGTGTTGTACTGCTCTTTCTCTGTATGGTTCTCATCAAATTTCTTCGCAAGCTGGTTCACAGTGGCACCACTGTAGGAATGTGAAATTGCTTTGCCACGTGCAGCTCTTCCAATCTTGTTACCGTCAATATGCTTTACCATAGAGTCCCCTATCACCAAAACTGCTTTCTCCTGGCTCTGCTTCGACAGCTTCGTGGAGGATTTCTTCATGGTAACCACATTGTTGCCAGGGTCCTCTCTCAATTCCTTGTCTTCAGGTTTTGGACGCTTTCTAGAACGAGTTGAGTCCTTAGGTGATCCCCTTGGGTGGTTGGCTTCTTTGGAATTTTGCAGAACTTGGTCATTGTCAGAACTTGGTTCTTCCACATCAAGCACTTGAAATACATTGGTGTGAGTGGAATTTTTTCTTTGTTGATAGCAGGTTTTGATGATTTCTTGGCCTTTTGGTCCGTCTTGGTCCACTCGTTTTGTTTTATATCAGGAACACACTTGATATTGGCATTATCACCGCTCAATTCACTCACACTTAAATTCAACTGTTCGATTTCACCCGCCATTTTGTTATTTTGTTCTGACAATGTTTTTATGGTAATTTCTAAATTTGTTGATTTGAATACTGCCCGCTGTGATTCATCTTCTTGTTTAGCTTTAATTTCATTAATCAGAGTCATAATGTTGGCAATTTGATGTTTATAAACTTCACAATTTCCGCACATCAAGTGATTTTCATCGACATCTGGCTTCGGATCGTGTTGTTTGTTGACGACGTCGACCATGTGCTTTGTCGTTTTTGTGTTCTCATCTTGATTTATTACGCCATTTGCTTGCGCACTTGCCTCTAGAGCGCTTTGCAGAGACTTTTCCTTGTTGTCTTTCATAATCTGCAGTTTTTCTTTCTTCGGGCCGTGCCATTTTAAGCTGAAATCTTTGCTTTTGAATAATTTTTCCTCTCCGCGAGGCGAAGACCACTTCCCGTCGTCGCATTTCAAAATCGCCGCTACGAACGTTTTTAGGGAGTTTAGATCGCCTTTCCATGTAAAATTATTTACATTGTAGAATAGAAAAGAAGATTTTTCTATTTTGCTTTCAGATTCGCTGGTTTTGTTGTCGGAATTTGCAACAGATGCGGAGCTCGGAATTTTGTCACCTTTCGCCATGACACCGAAATTTTCACTGTTTGTGATAAGCCATTTGACAGTTTTCACACCAACTTCTGCACGGCAGTTTGAATGTGGGTATTCTACTGATAGGCGGTGGTGTACTCCCCACTCTTGTAGGAATTGGCGTGTGGCTGCAGCAGTAAATTTGGGACCCCCTATCGGACGTGCATTCGTCTGGTATGCCAAATGTGGTGAAAGTGTGTCGTAGGCAATTAATGAGGCCCTTAGAACCTTCTTGTGCCTGTTCGATTATGGGTCAGATGGAAGGTGATCAGATAGGTCATAGACCAAATTCCCACTAATACTATTATGATCAAGTGAGTTAAGAAAAATATTATCAACAAGTGTAGCTGAATGATCTGTAATTCTAGTTGGCTGCAGAATTTGGGGTTGGAATAAGAAAGAACCTAGTGTACTTAAGAAGTTGTGTTTCCTGGTGCACTTTAGCTTTGAGGAGATCTAAGTTGAAATCACCTAAATTACACAATATTTATTTTCGTGATGAATCCTTTCAATCACCCCATTCACATAATTCATAAAATTATCAATATTGGATGTAGGATGCCTGTAAATGACACCACATAACATATTACGCTCACAATTATTATTTCTACCCATAGAGATTCAAAATCCCCAGTAGTCAAAGACAGGTCTGATCTTCTTTTAAATTATCCCTTAAAAAGAAACCTACTTCACCAGCATTTGATAGACTGGGTTGCGATATAAAATTAGAACCAGGTATATCAACATTTGTAATGAAATCATGGTCGAGTTTGATTTTGGTTTCAGACATACCTATTACTGAGAAAGGAAAGTATAGTTCAGATATCAAGTTGACCAATGCATCAAAATTAGCTGACAAGCTTCGAATGTTACAATTCAAAATACAGAAACTTTCTATTCATGCACTCCTTAATATGGTTACTAGTGTGAAAATCATGGGTACTATAAAAACTGAAATTATATTTAGATGGTAACTGTAGATCAGCATCAACATTGAGGTGTTCAATATTACTTGCAAGAGTTGCAGGTTCTAGGCGAGGCAGCAGGGTATATTCTCCAACCCTGTGACTGTTTGCTGTTATAATCACATTAGGGCATTCCTAACAATAGTAACATGTCATCACTCAATATAATTCAATAAGTAACTTATCTTATTCCTGAGGAAATAAAGGTTTTAGCCTGCAAACAGGCTCTCAAGCTGAATTGAGAGCCTGCATCGATGACTAATGAATTTGAATATCTGCGTCTCAAATCGTGACGCGAAATTCTCATTGGTCAGATGCTATAATTTATATGTTTCCGCTGAGCTCTATATATGTCAACTGCTGAAGCACTATGCATAAAACACACCTTAACTGATCAAATTGGTCTTGGCCATCTTATCTCAAAGCATGAAATGTTCTGTTTACTATGCATAAAACACACATTAACTGATCAAATTGGTCTTGGCCATCTTATCTCAAAGCATGAAATGTTCTGTTTTGAGAAAACAGTATTTAAAACATTTAAACTTTTGCTTGAATATCTTATATTTCGAAAAACAGTATAAACTGTACGGTCTAAATTTAGTTTGCACGGTCTAAATTTAGTTTGCACGAAAGTTGTAAACAACACCAATGTAAGGATAGACATTCCATATTTGGAAAAACGAACATTACGGGGCAGATATTCAAATGAGAGCTTGCAGGTTTGAGAGCCTGTTCGCAGGCTATATAAAGGTTTGTGTTCTCATTGATGCCCGGGCAAATCCTTAAGATCTTTAATATGAACTCGAGGGTTGTCTCCATCTTTTCTTAGATAAATATTACCTGATTGTGTCCAGACAAATTTGTAACCATGATCTTTCTTAAATGTAAGACAAGCACTGAATAATTCTTTATTTTTCTGACTAAGGTTCTCGTTAATAAAGATCTTATTTGACACATCATATCCAAAATCAGCAACTGTTACATTTTTAAAATTCCTTCTGGAATGGTAAAATTTTTCGTTAACATCTTGTCTTACGAATTTAACGATAATATCCTGATTATTCCCAGATTTACCATGTACATCTCTTTTTGGAAGGTGATGGCTAACTGATATATGTGAAGGTGCTATATCAACTCCAATAGCTTTTGCCACTTGTAAAACTATATCTTCCTGATTGTTACTTAAAGGAAGGCCACAGATTTCCACGCAATCTCTGCGAAGGTATTGGTCCATTTGAGTTCATTCTTTGATTCTAAAAGTTCACCTCTAAGACCTTTATTCTCAGCAAGCAGCTGTTTCTTTTCTTCCTCGTTAATTTTCAATAACTTGATGATTTCATCGTATTTAACACTGGTAAACTGAATAGCTTTCGTTGCTTCTTCCAGTTGTTTTATAAAAGGCTGCAAACTTTTCTCGAGCTTTTCTTCGAGCATAGATTCAATTTTCTCATATGTTACAGGCATATTTTCACAGACTAAACGTACAACATATAATATAACAAAATTATCAACCAAAAAAGAAGAAAAATGGATATTTATTTCACTTTTATTGATATCATTTGCGAACTCAAAGAATTTGTCGCCATCTTGATTTTGGTGCTTCCACATGTGCTTTAACGATATGCCATGCATTGTATGAACGTAAATATTTAACTCTTACCATAAAAAACCATTAATGCCAAAACCATGCTAAAATTTATGCTAAGTATACTTGTATTTGAAATAAAAGAAGGAAAAAACGCACAAAAAATAAAAAAATATTAATAATAATTCATCATCATTACTTAGTGCCAGGTAGAAAAACGTAACAATTTAAATCGATTTTGTTAAACAAGGAGAAAGGATAAAGCCTAAAACTTACTTTTTGTTTAACAATTTGTTATTTTTCGCTGGTTTGTTTGTGTAAATTTAGGAAAAAGGGAAATGAAAAGGAAAATGTGATTTCGTGAGGGGGGCATAAGGCAGACATCCCCCCACCACTTGTATGTTAAAAAAGGCCTTGATACTGGTCCTCTCATTATTTACGCTACACAATGTCTTACACCAGTACTTGTCCAATTACCTATTTTATACAAAAAATACAACCCGCTTCCCAAGAAATGACTGTATTAAATAGAATTAATATTTAACCCATATGTAGATTGCAACATGTGCCCAGCGTGTCCCATCCCAGGGCTTTGGAGTGAAGACCTTGGGTATGTTGTTGGTGAGCACTCTGTTCATTGTCATTAACCTTGGTTGATGTTGCATAATCTCATTAGCTTGCAAACTATTTTTTTCTCCTCTTTTCTATGTGTGCAAACAATTTATTTGCACTTTTTTGTCTTTGCAAACAATTTTTTTAAGAATTTTTCATCCCCCCCTCCAAAAAAATAATGGTCCGTCCCTTATTTAACCAAATTTGATTATCAAGTAACTCCCAATTTGGTTTCCGGAAATCTCACTCTACAGCAACAGCATTATTAGACTGTACTAATGAGTGGTATGATAATTTAGATAGGAAACTATTTAACTAAATAGTTTTTATTGATTTAAAAAAAGCATTTGATACTGTTGATCACCATATTCTCCTAAAAAAGTTGGAGTTATATGAAATAAAAGGACAAGCTCTTTCTTTTCTAAAATCCTATCTCACAAATCGCAGCCAAAAGTGTAAAATGAATGGATTTATTTCATCAGAGCGCCTGATTAAATGTGGTGTACCACAAGGTTCTATTTTAGGACCATT